ACATAAAACTGTTCGAGCCCTCTAACTAATACTATCGGTCCCACACTCAAATAATCCATTATTTAAAAGATGAATACCTGAACTTAAAATGGTTTGTTTTCACTTCAAAACACTTTCAAAGACGTCTAACTCACAATACCAAATGCCATTAGCCTCAAAAATACTTTAACCACCTTAAATGGACCACACACAACATGACAAAACAATCATATCACACAATTAAGTATTCACACTCAAAATAACCACCAAACCCCTAATTGACAATAACATAAAAGGGTGGATAAAACTTAGCACACATATTAATTTGGTCATTTTGACATATAAATCACTTCAAATATATTACTTGTAATTGTATCTTGGCCAAGCACACTCGTTCAATTATAATAACATCAACCTTAGGCCAAGCTACATATACATATCCCAAATTCATGCAAGTGATAATAAAACAATATCATGTTCTTAAGTTGACATGATATAAAAGCAATATTCATTACAATTCCTAAAAAGAGGAAAAGGAAGAGCTGTACAACTATTACTCTTCACTCTTCAGTCAACCCTTCCTTCCTATTTCCTTTACCGAAACCCTCACCTGTAAAATATAACTATAGGGTGAGATAAATATCTCAATAACAGAATAATTCACTACTATTAATTAATATGCACAACCATAAGAGAGTAAAACTATTAAGCACCAAAAATATACTTTTAGCATATTACAAAATACTCTTTTCCATAACATAAATCATTTTCTACTAGCATGATCATTCTACCATTTGAGCTTCCATATTACCCTGACTGAAACCATAGGCTCTTAAGCCAAGTGCACATCTACAATGGTTTGAGCTCACTTTTGGTGGTAGGATCACCTTGCCAAAGGTGTCCTAGTTTCCCCCTATCGCATATGAATTGGGGTGTTGTTACTCCAACAGTGCATTACTAATTTTAAAGAGCATCACTTTCTAACACCATATCCCACATGGATACTAAAGAGATTTTCTCCAACACTGTGACTCACTAAATATAAAGGAGATACATGCTATATGAACTTTCACTGCTTCTTTCTACAAGTGAACTCCCAACTCGTAATATGATTATGCCCATACTTATCATATATAACACATATACGTTTCAAATTTCTCAACTAATCTATATAAAACTTTCATCATTTCAATTATTGCAATTCATTTAACATGCACAAAAATCACACTTCGCAATATACAAAGTTATCAAATTTCAAGTTCAAATTAACATATCTACTCATAAACAGTTAAGCAATATAATCAAATAGTATAAATTATTTCGTTACCTCAACCTTTTGTCACAAAAAAGGGTTATCGTAGCTAAACATTAGCTCCACACGTTCTATATACACAAGGTAGCTTGAGTAACACTCAATCTACACAATTAAGTGACAATTATCAATTGTCACTTCGGATAAACTCCAAATTCTCTAGGTTCTAAGTGCCCATAACACTCAAATTCCTTATCTAACAACACCAACCATTTTCAAACACTCTAACCATCTTATCAAATATCCCAACATACCAAAATCACCATCCAATTTTTCACATTGTTTTAAAATCTTCAAATTATGCCTAGGATTTGTCTAAACCCTCAACAAAATTTTAAATCACCATAAAACTCATAAACATAGGATTAAAAGCTTGATTTAACTGCCCAAGACTTTAAATAAACTAATGGATTTGATCTAAATTCAAGAAAACTGAGATCAAAGCTCCCGATACCCTAGAAGTCAGAATTTTTCACATAAAGATGAAGGAGAGAGAATGTGAAACTTACTCAAGGATGATTCAAGCTCTAATTGCATCCAAAATGGTCTAAGGATCACGCCCTAGCAGACATCGGTCATTTCCCGTCGCCTCCTCACGATATCTCTCTTTTATTCTCTGATTCTGGTCTATTTTTCATGAATTGATAAGCGATGATTTTGTACATGCGCCGTAATACATTAACACACCCCCACAGTGCATGGCATAAAAAGTCCCACTAAAATTTAAACTCCCTTTTATGCCATAGCCCGCTCAAACATCAATCTAACCTTCTCCTAAGGCTGTCCAAGGATTAAAAATCATATTAGTCTCCCATAGACGTCATTAATCACTAATTTATCTAAATTGACTAAAATACCCTTGAAAACACTAATAATTACTAATTTATAAACTTAGAATGTTACAACACTCACACACTTGCATGCATATACTTTCACAGTGTTGTTACTCTATCAGCTTACAACATAATGCATGTAGTTATATAAAAATACTTGTAAATAATTTCACAAACAAATAAGTAAAATGGTTACTCCAATTACCTTTAACTCTTACTATTAAGGATTACCAACCATATTAAGCTCTCAAGGGTACAAATTCTCATAAGCAACTTCACAGGTGCTCAATCTACATAACACAGTGCCTCTTAATCAATTCTCAATACTTTTCACAAGCATTAATTCAACTCAACCAAATCCCTTAACACATAAAATAGTTTAATTGAATCCTTTTGCATTCACTTATCCATTATTTATAATCATTAGCTCTATAAGTTACTCAAACAACCATAACAACTTCCTAACTTAATCATTTATCCAATTTCTCAGTTTCAACCTAACTTTTTGGCCATTTTGAACTTAAACTCTCAAAGCTCAATCATTTAACTCCATGCTAGTCACAAAATCTTAGTTCTGTATTCGATAGCCCGTTTTAACCCTTTCTTTTAGATTACAACACCTTAAAACCTCACGATTCGATTTCTCAACCAATAAAATTCAATGAAAAAGGGATAGAATTGAAGCTTAGGATTGTGTGATACTTACCCAACAAGTTATTAATCAAAGCTGACTCTAAACTTCTAGATATCGTTTTCCCTAACAAAGCTAAACATCTCCACCCCTCCAGATGCGTTTTCAGCCTTTTCTCTTTTAATTTCACGAGCTAATCACGTTAGCTTTAAGTGATCCCTAGACGATATGCCGTAGCGCACGCCACGTCTGCCGCAATGCGTGGCACAATGAGTCCAATCTTACTTTTGCTTGTGTATTTTGCATTGGATTGTCTTTCTACCTTTTAATCTTACCAATATAACATCCAAACAATACAAAACATCAACTCAACACCTAAACCACAATCAATCTACTAATTATTAATTTGTTCTTGATTAGCAACTAGTTCTTGAGATTAAAATTCAAGATGTTACATTGATCTTTTATGGGTTTGTGTTTTGAAAGGCAAATACAAATTCCAGATATTTTCCACTTAGAGCATTCAGTGGCGAAGCTGTTCTCCCATATGGAGGAATATTGTGCTGGTATGGTAAGACACTATGATGCATCTCAAATGGAAGCCTGGCTATGGAAAAGATATCAGATTCTGGTCAGATTTTTGGGTGGGGGATAACAACCCTTTAAAGCATCTCTCCTTTGCTGAACTCTAGAGCATATGATCAGATTATCTTGATGATAATAGTTAATGCAAGTGGGAATATTTTAAGGATCTCTTACCTTAATCTGTCTTGAATCATATCAAAGGTGTAATTATAAATGTAAATGACCTTTCTCCTTACTTTTGTTTTTGGCATCTTAATAGTAATGGTGAGTTTACTATTAAATCAGCTTATACGGCCTTCCAATCTATTGAATGGAATGATGTTGAGGCTAAATGAAAGAGTGTTTGGAAGCTACCTTTGGCATAAAGGGTTCAGACTTTTATCCGGTTACTTCTTAAAGATTGGCTTCTCACAAATGTTAAACGTCTTCATTGTAAGATGACACATGACTCATAATGTTTCATCTGCCATGACCTAATGGAGAACGTTAATCATGCCCTCAAAAAATGTCCTTTTGCAACAAATATCTAGAAAAAAGTTCAACCCCTTGATATGTATGCATTTCTATAGGAGGGGCTTTATTGCATGGTTATCTGATATACTTCAATCACCCTATGTTGAAATTTCTTAAAAATCTAGCATAGTATTTTAAGTTAGAAACTATAAGAAGTTCGCAACAAATGCAGCTTCACCGAGGAGATTATTGATGAATTTTCCTTCCTAATACATATTAAAGCTATTATGGATCATACTCATAGGTCTTTTTTTTTATCTTTAAAAATTTGATGTAATTACTTTTCATTTTTCAGTACATATTGCATATATACTTTTATTTAATGCAATTCCTTTCCACTCAAAAAAAACAAATAAATATAAAGTGAGTTACATTATTCATAATTTATAAATATTGTGACTTTTTATAAATTCTATATACTAATATATTAGTGATATTGATATTGTGAAAAAATAATTTTGAATAAATTAAATGTACAGTATAAAAGCTAAATTTTAATATAAGAATTGTTGTGTATTCAAGCTAAAGATGATTAAGTTCTAGTATTTTAGAATATAATGAAATGGTTCATAATAATCATAGTTTGTGAATGGTAATATTTCTTCTATCAATTGCATAATTTATATTACATATTAATATTGATATTAATTAATATTGATATCAATCAATGACAATTTGTTTGCCCGAAAAATAATGGGATTGTTTAAAACTGTTTTTATTTTATTGTTCTGATAACTGATATTTTGTAAAAACATGTTTTGAAAATAAAAATAAAAATAATAATTTATTTTTTTATTATCTTTTATTCTCCAACACAATAATCACATAACACTTAAAAGTTGTTTTTATTTTTCTGTTCTCCAAAATAATATTTTATTTTTTAAAATATTTTTAAAAAATATATTATTAAATAAATTTTTTTATTCTCTTATTTTAGAGAATAAAAAATTATTTTTAAAATAGGTTTTCAAACAAGCCAACACCGTCTGGTTTTTAGCACGCCTAGCAGTTTAACGATTTTTTTTTTTTTCCCAACACAATTAAGATTAATATTTTTTGGGCCAAAATTAAAAATTAATATTGTTGATCGTGTATTTTACCTTGATAATATTTTTAAAAATGCTCTGCTTTGTCCGAAGAAGGAAAGTTGAATGTTTCAGAATTGGCAAGCGTCTTCTCCAGAACACTGCAAATAGACCAAAGCATGGGCTTTCCTGATTCCTGAACCGTCGGGGTGAGTTACAAGGCAAAGGACAAGGACCATTATCGGAGATCAAATCGGCATCTTCCTTCCCGGCGAACATTTCTATCACCGACCGTTAGTTCTCTGCACAATCTCCACCATCGTTATTTGAGTTTCTTCAGGTTCATTTCTATCTTCTTAAATCCTTTTCTCTTTCTCGATTTCTTCTCAATAATGCTTCAATTCCTTCTGTTTCTTCTGTGTATAAATAGATCGCTATCTCTCTCTGTGTTTAGACTTTGCAAGATTTACAGGAATGTGTTTGATAGATCTCGTACTTAGTTCAGTATTTACTCGACTATATGTTGATATAGTATTTGATTAAATTAAAATCATTAACAAGTGGCGGAGCTAGCGTTTCTGCGTTAGTCTTATTTGATTTTTCCCCCCTTCCGCTGAACTAGTTAGGATCAGAAATTGGTCATTCTCCAACCTATGAAGCATTCCCTTCCTTGTGATCATCTTGTCGTCATTGATTGATTGTTTATTCTATGCCTTTGTGAATGTCAACACTGTCTGCGAACGGGGTGAGCATTACTGTCTACAAGCAAGCGGGGGGGGGGGTCTCTTAAAGTTCTTGGCATAAATCACATTATAATTTGACCTGATAGTATTTGAGTGAGATAGCTTCTTGTAAATTGAGCTTCCTTATCTGTATTATGTTTGGGATTCTAAGGAGTGAGTTCGTCTTCGTATGCATTTTATATATCGGTTGATGATTTCCTTCACTAGAGTTGTTTTCTGATTACATGTTTGCCGTTGTGATAGCAACAAGAATGTACAATAACATTGGATCGCAAACTGTGGCACCTCAACCTCCAGCAAGATCAGGGCCTAATCCTTTTGGGAATACATTTCATGTAGCTGGTTCAGGTATCATTAGAGGTGGATTGGGTGCTTATGGCGAAAAAATATTGGGATCGAGCTCTGAGTATGTCCAAAGCAATGTAAGTAGCATTCTGGTTTTTATTTTCTCTTGTTGATATTTATAACTGAATTCACCATGCTGATTCATGCACGGGGGATGTTTATATTGTTTACTATTTGGCTCTAGTGTTAGTTGTTCATGGATTTCAAGCCCTTGCATTTTCCATCAGATATTCTCTGTCTTCCTCAATCCTTGTTTGCATCTAAAAAATTTCTCAATCTGGGAAAATTGACACTGATTTTAATTGCTGATTTAACCAGTTTTCATATAATCTGAACTGCACTTATCTGTTAATAGTTAATAGTTAATACTTCAACTGTTTTAGAGTGAGTCATGGCAACTTGGCACTTCCTTTGAAAGTCATGAAGAAATATGTAGTCCTTTTTAATCTATTTCATATGCGTGTAAATTCAATAATGATTGTATAGCTGAATCATTATGGATTCAGGCTTGACTGTATTGGAGTGATAAACCTGTTCAGCTGAGCAATGATCTTAGGTAGCTAATTGGACCCTGCATTGTTCCAGGCCCAAAAAGGGGGGAAAAAGAAAGACCCTGCTGTGCTACTCCTTAACCCTTTGTTTGCTTGTTGATATTCTCTGATGGCATGAATTTAATCCTTTTATTTTAAAACTTAATTTTTTATCGATTGACAGATAAGTCGATATTTCTCTGATCCCCAATATTATTTTCAAGTGAATGATCATTATGTTAGTAACAAATTGAAGGTTGTTTTGTTCCCATTCCTGCATCGGGTGAGCACTAATCCACTATTTATTATTTCTGCAGCCCCCTCCTCCTGCTTTACTTTTCTTATCTTATTTTAACACATGCTTGGCCTTGTGTTTTGCTCCTCTTTTCTGGTTCAGGGTCAGTGGACAAGAATAACTGAGCCAGTGGGGGGCCGGCTCTCTTATAAACCACCATTTCATGACATAAATGCACCAGACCTGTATATTCCATTAATGGCGTTTGGTACCTATGTTGTTCTTTCTGGCCTCTCCTTGGGTCTTCGTGGAAAGTAAGCACATGATGGCTTCTAATGCTACCTTTCCTAATCTTAATTCCTCTTCTTTGCACTAGGTTTCAGTTTTGCTTGCCTCTTAAAGTTTGCTTAATTTCATTTTTGGTCCCTTCACTTTCACAAATAAATAAAATTTCCTCATGGATAACATTATTAATTTATTTAACCTAAACTGATGATTAAGATTTGGTGCAACACTGCAACTAATGCATAATGAAACTCATGCCTAGTCACTGCTACTTTAACTTACCATTGATCAAACATGTAAAAAAAGCTGTTCTGTGAATTTGCTGAAACAGCATTTTATGCATCTCTTCTTCATTGACAATCTCCTTGGCTTCCAAATTTGAAAACTCAGGGTTCTTACTCGCTTGATGATTCTTTCATGATCTTACTTATTTTTGCCCCAGCATGCTTCTTGTGTGTCTTTATTTTGATCTTTGTGCAAGTATGGATCTATGGTGAACCCACAAAGTTGAGTTAGGCAAAATAATGGTGAACGAAGAGGTGTAGGTGTGTAGCCTTGAGAGATGATTTTAGGTATTAGACAAGGGATATCAGTATGGACTGTTTATTCTCCAGTTGATGTTGCTAATGTGTATTCCTTCTGTTGGGGGATTCATCTTATTGTGTTTTAACTACATTGTTAATCTATGTTCTCCAAAGTTATGACCTGGAACAGTTTAGGAAGATTTTACACTTAGAATTGATGGATGGGCAATAGATAATTGCAATGGTTTGGCTTAAATGTTTACGTTTGAGCATTTTCTGTCAATTAGGAGTGAAAATTTCTTACTTGTTTCCAAAAGTTAAAGAGAACAATTAGAGCTAAAGATTTTAAGGAACAAAACCGAAATCTTAATTGAAGTTAAGGAACAAAAATATACTTTTGCCAAGAAATTATATAACATTGACAAGTGTTAACATTGAGCAATGTTATCCATCCCCCAACCTGTTTGCACAACAGTAAATATTTGTACTGTCTTTGGTGGGCAACGGGCAGTAATTTATGATTTTTACTGTACAAGTTCTATTCTCGATGTTTCTTCTTTTGCCAAGGCACCTGCTTTGAAATTGGTATTTCCAAAATACCTGTTCAAACTGCTAATGGTACTAGTGATTAGTTAGAGCCTCTAGAATTGTTATTAACGGCAGCAACCAGTAATCATATTATACTTTGTATACTATTTCATAATTTTTTGGCCAAAATATACTATTTCATAATTGATACTGTCTTTTAAGGGAAAATTTACAAATAATGTTTGTTTCTTCTCTGCCATGCCTCAACACCATCATGTGAATTATATTGCCCTTAGGAAGGCTCAGAAGCATGTGAACAAAAATTTGTGTTGGATAGAAAACGGGAGGGAAGTCATGAAGCATTAATGATGTACTGCTTGGTGTAACCAAAAGCATGTCATTTTATTGAGTGAATACACAAACTCTTTCGCTTGGCTACATGATGTTGAACATCTGTGCTAAAAACATCATCTAGCTCCCTTGGCATTTGATATACATTGCAAAATCCCCTCTTCCGAGTTATTCTTAGTCATTGAATAGATTTATTTTCTTCATAATATTCACTCCTAAAAGTAAAATTAATCTGTCTTCTCGCTTCACACTAAAATGAAATCACATTTTGATGTTGGAATTTAAAAACGGCTTGATTTTCTTTATTTATTTTATCAATAGAACTTCAGTATGATGTTAAAAAGGAAAAAGCTAACTTTTTTAGCAGAAGATAATTTGGAAATTAGATTTTTGTGATATATATATATATATATATATTTGTATCAAATGGAAGGGGAGTTGAATGATTTTTGAAATAATGGGATATTATTGAAGTATTTAATTAATTTTCAATGAAGATAGTGTGATTTACTCTCTTGTACTTCAGAAATACAAATGGTTGGACAATGTAAGTCTTCTATGAGGAACCTGTCATTGCTGAATGCATGCGATAACTGCTTTTATCCTTTCCATATTTGCGACGTTAGTTTTATGTTGAATTCCCTGAAATATAATTTTTAATTTTATGGAAACCTCGTTTCCCATTTAGAAGTGCGAATGTTTGAACAATGGAAGAATGTTATATGCTACCCACCACTGCAAATTGCAGGCTGTAGCTGGCTTTACAGTTTCCATTTTTGTAGGTCATAATCATAGATGATCATTTTCTGATAAAAACTTCCCCGTCTGCATGATCAGTTTCATGTTGAATTCTACTTAAAACTAGATAATTTTAATTTGGTGGAAACCAGAGAAGTAATGTTCTTCTTACGATTGCATTTTGTAATTACTCTCTCTCACACTTAAATCCATTAGTAGGATTTTGGTGTGTGTAACAATGAGAATTCAGTTTTTGCTCATAGTACTCCTATCTGTTTTGGCTTTCTGAAAGAACTGTCTTTATGGTTCAGGTTTAGTCCAGAAGCTTTGAACTGGTTGTTCATCAAGGGATTGCTTGGTTGGTTCATGCAAGCAATGCTACTTAAGGTGACATTGTTTTCACTGGCTGGTGGGGAGGCTCCCCTGCTAGACATCATGGCATACGCTGGGTATACTTTCGCCGGCATGTGTTTGGCCGTCCTCGGGAGAATCTTGTCAGGTTACTCTTACTATATTTTGATGCCATTTACCTGTTTAAGCATGGGAGTTTTCTTGGTTAAAACTCTCAAGAGAGTCCTTTTTGCTGAAGTGAGGAGTTATGAATCATCCAAACATCACTATCTCTTGCTCTTCATTGCTTTGGCTCAGTTCCCTTTGTTTACTTGGCTGGGCAACATTACCGTCAATTGGCTTATTTAGATTTCAATCTCTTTACAACGTGGTATATATGGAATCATTTTTTCGTGGAAACTTTTACTTCTTGTTCGCTGCTTTTCTTGTAACGATTTTTTCATTTGTTTAGTTATTTACTTCCCATTCTCATTTGTCCAACTCCATTTTACTGTATATTTCCATGCAATCCTTTCTTCGGCTATTTGATCTATTGATGTTGAGACAGAAACAAGATTATTACCCCTTCCTTTTCTTTTCTTTTCTTTTTTTTGTTGTAATTCTTTGCCTGAAATTCTGAGGATTTTTTGTACCTTATAGATGGATAGGGATAATTCTATCTTGTATTTAAGAAGTAATAAAAATATTTACATAATATACACATTTATTTTTTATATGACGATGGGGAAGTGTGGTAGAAGATGATGTCTATAGAAACGTGTAAGGTTCCGAAGGCTCCAGACAGTAGCTAGCAGTATAGGTGGGGTTTTTTAAAAAGAAAAAGTGAGAAATGTATTTTGTTTTTTGGCTCCAAAATAATAACATAGTTAGTATAAATAACAATTTAATTTTTAATTTAAACGAATGGTAGTTGTTAGTTGATTACCTTAAGTTGTCATTTACATCAAATTAAATTAAATTGTTATTTATTTAAAATTAAGGTTTTATTTACTGATGCTTTTTTATTTTTATTTTTTTACCGCGAGTCAAGTTGTCATTAATGTTAAATTAAGTTGTTATATAACATAAACGCAAGCTTTTATTTACAGATATTTAAATTGATATTTTTATTATGAACACAAGTTATTTTTTTAGTTATATGTAGTGTTTTGTATTATTATACTAAAGTACCCAACTGTTAATATCCCCCTTAAAAAAAAAGGTATTTTGGTAATTGAGCATGAAAATTTATTTACGCACGAGATTTAGGACTTTAGAGCTATGCATCTTTCATATTTAGATTTTTTATTGTTATTATTATTCTGAGTAATTCTCCCTTTATTTTTCATAACGACAAGGAAGTATGTCAGAAGATAATGACTATAGAAACATGGAAGGTTCTGGAGGTTACATATATACATGGCTGGCAATATCAATATGTTGCAGAGTTTCTAAAAAAGCAATAATTGTATTTCGTTACTTTTTTCTGGGGGTATGAAACACGTCCTTATTCTTTTAAGTTTTATGAATAAACGAATAAAACTAATAATAAGGAATTATTAGTTTTATATAATAAATTAATGAACTATACATATCATTTATGAGGCGTATCACAAGACTGGAGTGTTTCCTAACTGGCTCTATGCATTTTGTCATACTAACTTAAGAAACTTGTGATTAAAATTCCTCACCATGTATTCCCAGAACATAAAATAATTTATTTTTTTAAAAAAAATTGATATTATATACATATTTCATTGATGAATGATCTCATGATGCTCTCTCCAAAACATTTGTTTTTTAAATGAACTGAACTCGTTGATATCCAATTTGTAGAGACTTTTTAATCATTGAATTCGAACTTATCTATACTTATATAATTTTCATCACCTGTGAGTTAGTTTTTTTTTTTTTGGACAAGGAATCAAATTTAACAAACCCTATTTTCATTTTAAAATATATTACTATAAATTGTGAATTGATCTCAGCAATCAATGAGTGACTGATTTTTGTTTTTAAAAATTGTTTTCTGTTTCTAAAAATAATAAATATAAGAAATTGTTTAAGTGTTTTAGATTTAAATATTTATAAAACTGGCTTATTTTTTTATTTTTAAAAGTAAGAAACATTTGAAAATTATTTTTATTTTATTTTTTATTTTCAAAATATATTATATTTGATTATTAAAAATTATAGTCAATTGCTGTCCTAAGCTACTACACCCAAGCAAACCCTAAGTAACTGAACCCAAAACATCTATTGCACACATTGGTGTGTGATGGGGAGAATGATATATGCACAGGGGAATTTCCATTTTTCAATTCATAAGTAATCCTTTATATGATTATCTCATTAAGTCATATTCATTTATTGTCATAACTCAATTAGGGGTACTTTTACTAATAGCATTTTATGCATTCACTCGAACTCAAATTCAAAGCCTCTACGTTAAAGGTATGATTGAGAGTTACTAACTACAAAAATAATTTATGAGAGTGCTTATTTTTGCTCAACAAGAGTGCTTTCAAAACTCTCCTATAACAACAGCTCCCATATATATAGAAGTGTGTAATATCCTAAATTTTGGGCCTGATAGCTCAACAATATGCAAGAATTTAGTAAGCTACTAAGCCTAAAGTAATGAAGAGTTTTTGAAGTGCCTTGAAAAGATATAGTGATTTTTTAGAGACTACATCATAATTTTAAAGTTTTTTTGGGCAAAAGTGTAACATTTCAGAGACTTTAAGGAAGTGTTTGAAACTAAGAAATGAGCTAGTTAAAATTCAAAAGTGTCTATGATAGACTAAAAAGAGGATAAATAAGGTTTAAAAAAGTAACAAAGGTATTTAAGATCAATCTTAAAGAATAATCAGTAAAGTTTTTAAATTAAACAGAGGTAGAGTTATTTAATAACTTTATTTTTATGTTCTAAGTCTTTTAAGAAGGATCATAATTAGATCCTAAGGATCATAATAGATCCAAAAAGCGCTTAGTGAGATTGAAGTTGGATCTTATGGTCGCAATAGACCTAATAGAAAGTTAATGAGTCACAAGGTGTACTACAATTCTCTAGGAAGACGATGGTTTAGTATGAGTTTAAAATATTAAAACTTCTTAAATTTGAATAACTATTATAAAGAGAGTATCCTTAACTTTTTCTTAAATAGCTCAACTATTAACTAGGCTAAGAAAGAAAAGATAAGAAAAGCAAGTAAAAGTAATAGCCTATTCTGTACTAAATGATAATTATCAATATTTAAGAGTAATTATATGTAAATAATATGATGAGATTATGAGAAATTATCCAAAGTTAAAAATAAGCAAAACTGAACGTTGATCCGAAAATGTCAAGCTCAATTGGGGTCAAAATGTAATTTTTTGAAAATTGGAGTCTTAAAGTGTAATTATAAAAAATTATTCAAAATTTAGGAAAATTTTAAGAAAATTAGTATATGGAAGGAGGAAATATTTTGATGAATCATACCGATTTTATTGGCTAGAAATTGCTCAAAAAATTACTTTATAATTTAAATTATATTAAGTTAAGATAATATATTAATTTGCCATATCTAGAGTTTGATTTATGAAGAGCCCAATTTGAGCCCAATTGTACAGGGAGTGCGTCACTTTTGGATCAGGTTGGGAGAAGGAAATTCATATTTTATTTAACCACACACTAGTTGACAATATTTTAAAATTAAGAAAAAGAAAGTGATAAGTGAAAATTGTGATTGGTGGATTTAAGAAAATATTACAATTTCATTAACATTTCCACTTTAACACCACAACATTTCATCTTCCTCGTTTTCGATCAGACCAAGGAGAGAGAGGAGAGTGAATTTCTAAACTTCTTCCATGGTGAATGTATGAGAGGTTTAGAGAGAGAGAGAAGGAAAATAAGCAAAATCACCATCAAAATCACCTTTTTATTTCAAAGTACCTTCATAAAAGTTGTTCTTCTCTTCAAGAATAATAATCCTATAGTTTTAGATTCTTGAGAAGAGGAGTTCAGTGCAGCCAAGAACTGTGGAAGTGGGAGAATCTAAGAAAAAGTTATAACAAAGGAAAGAGGTAAGCGCAAGCTTTATTTTGAGATAAGTATTTTGAGATTTAATTACGTTTCTCATGGAATTGTGCTGCTGCCCTGTTTTTGTAATGAGGAAACGTCAGGATTATGATGATATTAAGATCATGGAAATGATGTTGAAAGAAGTTTAGGCATGATAAAACAAGAATTTAGCAAGCCTTGTGAAAATTGAAAAGCTTGAATTTAAGTGGAGGTGCTGTCCAGTTTTCTTCAAGATAAAGCCATGGATTTAATCAAGTGTAAGTTCATTAAACATGATTTAAAACCGAGGCTTGGGCCATGAAAATATGAAGCATGAAAATAGTTTGGATGAAGCAACCTCAATCTAGGTCTCAAATACCCATAATCGCTTTCAAGGATGGTTCAAAAGGAAAGAGGTTGAATTTGTCAAATCTGAGTTTAAAAATGAGTTCTTTATGAAAAATTAAGTGGAAAAATGATTGTACAAGAAAAAAATTCATGTAAAATCTTGACATATAGAGTGTAAGAATTAAATAAAGAGTAAGTTATTATATATTAATAATGTAATTATTTACTCTAACAATTATCATAAATATTTTATGACAAATATTCAGGGCTAATGAGTGTCATGAAAAACGAATCGGAGGTTTGGTCATGAGAGATTAAATTGAAGCAGGGAAAACAAAGAAAAAATAATAAAGCCAAAAAATAGTAAACTTGATGTCACATGTTAGTTATAAAGTCATGTAATACAAAAATATGTTATGTCTGAAACTTTTTCCTTGTATGCTTAAATGGTATTATTTAATGCTAAGGTTTTCTTAAATCTCACCCCCAATAACTAACCATGTTGGGTTATAAACTTTCAAAGGAAGAGCTAGAGTAAGGAGTGAAGGTAAGTGGATTAGGAGATAATTTTCTCTATGGCATTATTTTTATAGAAATAAAAAATGTATAAATAAGTTCATAAATTATGTAATTTATGATGAGATTTTTGCATGTATAAGTGATATGTGTTGATGTATGATGGCCAATTTAGAGTTCTAAACTAGTCTTGAAATTATGATTTTAGTATGCATGATTTGAATTGTCTAGTTTAGACTCTTTTCAGATGAGGGTTACTATTTTGTTGTTTAATGTGTAGTAACCCATGTCCAATGTTCATAAAAATTTTTATGATAAAACTAGACACATAAAGCTTTCAAACAAGTCCTAAACCAAATCTTTTAGATATGTAAATCTTGAGTTATAGATTTTTTCAATTATTGCACAAATCCTGTAAGAGAAATAGAGCAGCTTTGAAAAATGAATAAACTGTGCTATTTGTAACAAAAAAGGGTTAAAAATGTATTTTTTATAATTTAAAGGACTTCAAAATCTTCCAAGAGAATTTTAGAGCATCCTTATACAAATATATTTAGCTATGAATTTTTAAAATTTAGTAAAAATTCTAGACTTACTAAATGAGTGGCAGCCTAATGATTAATTTGTGAATTTTAATTTATGAGTTTCAATTCTCTTTTCACTTGAGCGATATCACTTTTAATTGTCTATAAAAATTGTTAAAAATTTAAATTTTACACAACGCTTACAAAGTACTCCAATAGGTAAAGGAGATGGGAGCACTCTTTGGGAGAGTGCTCCAATAAGTGTGGCCTATGAGAGCGCTATCTATCAAAGTGCCCAGTAAGTCTCAAAGAATTTTAATTTTAAAAAAATTACACACCTACAAGATCTCTTTTCTAAAAATTCTCTCGTATTTTACGAAGCATTCCTCTATGTGAACCCTTTCGGAGTGTTTAAAATAAAAGTGTTCCAAAAAGGTACTATGAAAGCACTAAAAATAAAAACGCCCAGAAAGGGTTCTATATCATAATGCTTTTAAATAAGCGTTCCTAAATAAAAGCTTTTTTTTTTGGGACAACCTATAAAAATAAATGCTCCTAAATGAAGGCTTTTTTTTTATTTATTTTTCGCACAACATAGAGGAGCATTGTTTAAATAAGCACTCTTAAATGGTTGTTTTTTAAAAAAAAAAAAAACTCATACAATCTGTGGGAGAGCTTGTTCAAAAAATGCTTTTAAATACTTGCTTTTTTAATTTTTTTTATATAATCATTGGGAGCGCTTTTTAAATAAGCACACCTAAAGGTAATTTTTATTTTATTTTGTTTTGACTTAATCATTGAGAGCACTTTTGCAGTAAGCACTCTAATAAATGAAAACTTTTGGAATTGATTTAATATAAAGCTTTTAAAGGTATTCATTTTCTCCCAATTTTTTTATGGTTTGCAGGAGCACTCATTTTTAAAACGCTTTAATAAAGGTAATTTTCTAGAATACTTTATCAGTAGGTTCTCATTTTATTGGAGCTTTTTTCTCTATAATCGCTCCTAAAAGCATGATTTACAATAGTGAGTATATGATAGAATAGAAAAAAAGGTCATTTATAAGATAGAGCGGAGCGGAATGAAGTAGAATGAAATTAAATATTCCTTTGTATGGGAGTTTTACTAAAAGAATGAATGATTTTATTTAATCATTATTTAAGAATTATTATAAAATTAATCTATTTGAATTATATACCAACAAAGATAATGTCTAGTAACAAGAGCTACTTTTTTAAAACGAGACAAATCAATATTCGATTCTCCAGTAAGGGGGGTGCTCATATTTTGTGCCCGACTTTACTTTGAATAGGATTGTCTCTAATAAAAAAATACATATGAGCAATAAAAAAAATAGGTTTGAATTATACATAATTATGTTTTTTAGCTTTAAGGTGATAGGAGAAAAAGGGTAAGAGGGGTGAGCAAGAAGAAAAAAATTTTATAATAAGGGTAAATGTGTAAACTTAGCTATCAATTATTTTTCGAAAACTAATGGGTAACTTATATTTTGAGGTGGTGTGAAATAAATTTTAAACTATTAAAAACAGAACACTCAACAACCTCCATTAATTTCAAGCTGACAGACATTTATTGTCATAATAGTGCTCACTCAAATTATTAGATAAATGAATAAATTTAGCTATGAATTATTTTGGAAGGACTATTGTGAGAGTTTTTTTCATCTTCAAGATATTGTGCCCTTCTCGTGAAGATTGGGCAACTTCGAGGTTGAGTTAGGACACAACGCTGTTTATGACAAAAAGGTTGAGGGTGAAGTTAGAGTTATTGAGCCATTAAGGAATTGAAATGATGCTATTGAATGTTTCATTTTTAATAATTCGGGATTTATTACATACCACCCCATAATATAAGTTATCCAATGATCATCACAAAATAATTTATAGTTAAATTTACATATTTATCTAATAATTTGACTGAGCCCTACCATGACAATAAATATCTATTAGGTTGGAGTTAACAAATGCTACTAGGTGTTTTTTTTTTAAGTTTAAGATTTATTTCACACAACTTCAAAGTTTATGTTACCCACTAGTCCTCTGAAAACGATTGGTAGTTAAATTTTGCACTTTTAACCTTATAATAATATTATTTATGTCAGGTTATTTTATTCTTGACCCCTAAATTGGGGTCCAAAAAGTAGGTTCAGAAGATTATTTCAAATCATTCTACTTCCTTTTAAAAAATTATACCAAGAAATGATATAAAAACTTTTGTCGTCCCAACCCATTTCATCTAAAAAAACTCTCAGGCACTACCTAAGCCGCTATAACCAATACTGTTGGAATTAACTACCGTTAATCATTTCATTCCCAAGTAATTTGCATATACGTTGTTGCGTAAGATGGGAAAAAAGGGAAAATGTGTAAAAAGTGCATGTAAATAAAGTTTTTTAAATTTGCATTAATGCAGAGATGTACTCTATAACTATTTTAGTTGACATTAACAATGGCCATTGAATTGAAACGTGTTGTGCATGATTTTTTTTTTTTTCTTTTGATGCAGGATCATAAGTTTGAATTATATAAATAACAAATTAAAGTAATTGGCAAAAAAATAAATGTAGAGATATGTTAATTTATTATTTTAGCTGGCAATGACAATGACCGAGAAAGTAAAAAAAAAATAAATAAATAATAATTAATGAAAATGATCATGCTTTTTCAAAAGTGAGTGAATCAAGCAGCGCACAGTGTATCGTTCGTCAAATCCAGTAATGTTGGAGGAACAGAATCTATTTTTATTTGTCGCTTAGTGAGTCAACTGTACGTATGGGCATGTGCGACTGAATCTAAGTGGGTCTCTGATTCTGGAATTAGCAGTGATTCCCTTTTTCTTTTTCTTTTTCTTTTTTTAAAAGCAATATTTTTTTTTTTGAAGATTTTATATTATTAATAATAATGAAAATAGACAACCAAAGCCATTTAAAACACAAGCTTAATGGCTCCGGATACAACTCATGGGGGACCACCACCATTATTTGGTGCAGAAAATTTTGACTTCGATTGTTCTTTGCTCTCTTTGAAGCCACATGTTGGCATTTCCTTTTTTAAATAAATTGGTAGCATGATTTATATAAGTCATTTTGCATTAAAAAATAGAGTATTAATTAACTTTATTTCAAAACCACCATTTTTTTATTCCATCGTTGCCCAGTATTTAGAAAATCTTGAGAGTATTGTCATTGCACGTCCAAATTAATTTGAACCTCGCTGTGTGTGGGATTATCATGATTAATAGGAGTCTCACGGGCACCATGAAATGAATTTGGTATTTTCATGTAAGGCGACTATATATATATATATATATATTTTTAAGACTCACATTTGAAACCTCTTGAGATAAGTTGATTAGATTTCCTTATGACTAGTAGAAACAAACGCCCATTGATCAAATCTATTTTCAATAATACTCCCTTCAATTGTTTTTCAATTGTTAATATATTTCTTGAATTTTGACATAATTCAACTTAATCCTTATGCCTTATTGAGTTAAGATATTAATGAAATTAAATTATCTCAAGTCACAAAAACAATAAAGAGTAAGTCATTATGAATTAAAGTTTAAGAATTGAATTGATCTAAGGAAGTATTACTGAAAGTAGATTTAATTGATGGGTGAATGATTTAACTAATTGAAGAAGTTGAATAAAATATGCAATAACATTAAATAAACATGCAAAATACCGAGGTACTCATGAGTCATGGGACTGTTATTGATAATAGCGGATCCACATGATATAAATTTGTATTAGTATCAGCAGAAAGTAGTAATATTTTAGGTTTAAGTGATAATGTAATAAAAAAACCAAGTAAATTTGACAATATAGTGAATATTTTAATGTATTCATTGTATCGCTTGATTTGTGGGTCTGAATCTCAAGAGTTTTATTATTGTGAAATTTTTTTTTGGGGGGTGGCATCAAAATCTAAATCATTAAATATGGCTGTTTTTTTATTTATTTATTTTGAAACGATTATCTTGGAAGAGAATCAAAGTGACGAGGCAAGTTGAGGAATTGAGATGTCGTGATAGGAATTTATTTATTTTTCCCCCTTTGAAAAAATTGCACGTTGAGGACTGAGGATATGGTCGTGGATCCACGTAGATTCAGACTCATCGCCACCTATCTATCTATCTCTCACTATAATTTAACTTGGCCAGCTCACAACCGCTTCTTCTTGGTCCCTTCCTTTTTGGTTTTTTTCTTTTCTTTTCTTTTCTTTTTAACCTTGTTTTTCACGCCTAATTAATACCTCAACGCCTAATAAACATGCTTGTTATTCTGAGAATCACAGTAAATTCTAAAAAAAATAAATTAATGTGAGTTAAGTTTTTTATATTTTTTTCTAAAACAATGAGTCGGACTTATCAATTTAGCCAGATGTGATTACATTTAAAAGTTAATTAAATATCTTATTTGTAATTAAAACTCTTAATTTACAATTGTTAAAATTAATATTTGTAATTTATTTTTAAAATAATTTTTTAGAAATTATACATATTCCTTTTGTTCAGAATTACAAAGTACTTTTAACTGAATTACACACTTCAATGAATTCATAAATTGTCTTTAAAATTACAAGGTATCTCAATTAAAAATTCTTGTTAGTTA